TTCTGCAAGAAGTGTGTGAGGGTTCCAGTTTGTCTACATCCTCACTAACCCCACTGTATGTCTTTTTTATTATAGCCATCTCAGTAGGAGTTAGCTTTGTGGTTTTGATTTATACTTTATTTATGGCTAATGATACTGATCATATTTTTATGTATTTATTAGTCATGTGTAGTTGGAGACATTCACTAATTTTAATAGCAATTCTCTCTCTCTCTCTTGCTTCGCAGTGCTAGAGATTGAACCAAGGGCTTTGTGCACACTAGGCAAAGTGGTCTACCACTGAGCTACATTCTTAGCCCTTAACAGTGACTTTCTTGGGAAGTACAAACAGGGAAGGTCTTGAATAGTTAAAAGTTTTCACTTCTTTTATTTGTTGACAGAAGAACTTGATTATATTTATATTGATGCTTCTTTTTTTTTAAGAGAGAGAGAGAGAGAGAATTTTAATATTTATTTTTTAGTTTTCGGCGGACACAACATCTTTGTTTGTATGTGGTGCTGAGGATCGAACCTGGGCCGCACGCACGCCAGGCAAGCGCGCTACCGCTTGAGCCACATCCCCAGCCCCTATATTGATGCTTCTTAAGCACTTTTCGCTTCACTTGGTGTCTGACTCTAAAACTTACGATACCTAGTCTCCTGGATTTTCTTTTAAGAGATTTGTGGAAAACCTTAGAGGCAAGTATGCATGTGTAGAGGGAGGGACTTTAGACATGTATTGAGTTCTTTGGGCCATTCAATAGCTGTATGGTTTTGGGATGTTAATCGAACTCATCTTTGCATTTAAAAAATTGCTGACATAGAAGCATCAGTAAGTATGAGCTGGTTCTGTACCTTTCTCTGGGTAGAACTGGGTCCAGTATGCTTTGGAAACAGAATACTGTTCCCTGTTTTGGGACATTCTCCAGGAAAAATGTCTCTCCATATTCCCCTCCCTCATCATCTCTGTACCTTTCTGTTTTTGTTTTTTTTTTTTTCATAAACATTTGGTTATTACGGTCAAAGATTGAGATACATAATAAACTCGTATTCACCTAAATTTCTTATATGTTTGAATTTTGCTATTACAGTTGTAAAACAAAACTGAAATTTTTTTAGAAGGAGCTATTGAGAACTTGATGTGAAATTAACTTTACATTTAAAGGTAACTCCTTTTTCTTTTTAGTACCTGGTGGTGTTTCACTTTCTAGTGGTAACATGGTGCTACTTGGTTTTTAAGCCCTATGTAAGTTATTTAAATAATTATTCACTGCTCACTCCCAAGTTTTATACCACATTAAGGTCTTATCTATCAAAACCAAATTTGTCTTCCTCTCTGCCCCCCATTTATAAAGAGTTTTTTCAAAATAAGCAAAAACAAAAACAAAACAAAAAACCTTAAACACTGCAGGGGAATCCAGGAAAGGTGGCACACACCTATAGTCCCAGCTACTTGGGAGGCTAAAGCAGGAGGATGCGATGAGCCCAGGAGTTTGAAACCAGCCTGGGCAGCATAGTGAGATCCCATCTTCCAAAAACAAGCAGAGGAATCACATATGTCACATAGTGTACTGGTTCCCTTGAGTAATGAAAAGAAACAAGATTGTATAATTCATGGCTTCAGGTATATGTGTATGTTATTTATTGCAATAATACCTAACAAGGATGGTGAAATTTGTTTAAAAAAAAATTCCTTATTTGACTTAGTTGTCTCTTCTCTTCTTAACCTTTAATATCAAGCATTTAATATTTTCTAACCTTTTAAAACCTATCACTCATTTATATATAAAATTATTTCCATTGTACCATTCTCTTATTTTCATAAAAAAGGAAAGTTTTTTAAAAGTTAGAGCTTTACAGTTATATATAGTAGTTGGGTTCATCCCAATGAATTCATACATGCATGGAATTTGATTTCCTTTCATGATACCCCCCCTCAATCTCCTTCCCCTTTCCCATTCTCCTTCTGCTATACCAGACTGTCTTGCTCATCTATTAATTTATATTTGATTTTTTTTTCTTTTGGGTTACACATGATAGTAGAGCCTATTCTTTCTATTTTTGCATTGAGATGAGGTTCCCTGACATATATTTATATATGCATTAACATGACAAAAGGAAACTTTTTTACTTATTTGTGGGAACATTAAACAATCATTTCTTAGTCTTCATCCTCTTTGACCTCTGCTTTTGCATTTAGTACTGCCAATCATCCATGCCTTGATTACATTTTTCCTTCTACCTCCTTCCCTGCTCCTGTTGTCCACCTCCCTCCCTTTGTTGATTGCTTTTCCATCTCCTACCTTTTAATTCTGTGTATTCCCTAAGGCTCATTCCTTAGTGCTGTGCTCTTCTTTCTTGACCCTAACCCAGAAAACCCAACATTTCCCAACTGTAGCTAGCCCTCTGTGCATATGACTTCTAAACTTATTGACCCAGATTGAATTCTGGGTATTTCTAGCTGCTTCAAGAATATTTCCAGGGCTGGGGCTATAGCTCAATGGCAGAGCACTTGCCTAGCATGTGTGAGGCACTTGGTTCGATCCTCAGCACCCCATAAAAAAATAAAATAAAGGCATGCTGTTCATTTGCAACTATAAAAAAAAAAAAAGAAAAAAAGAACATTTCCATTTGTAGCTCCTTCACTGTCATTTTGAATTCCACATATTTGAAATTGAACTTCTCAAATCGGCTCCCCTTCCAACCCTCATGACTGCTTATTTCTGTTACTGATGCACTATACTTGTTCTACACTGAAATCTTGAAACATTGAACCCAATTGAGGGAGGATGTTGAAAACTTTGAGCCAAATATTAAATTTTTAGCAATTTTGTAAGTTGGTTGCTAAACACAGCCATTATTAAAAATTAAATCTATAAACTTACATTTAAATTATGTTTAAAATAAAAGTAATAAATGCTCAAAGCTCTTCACTTCATAATTATTTTACTGCGCATTGTTTTTTCTGTTTTCTATGCTCTTGAGATTAATTATGTCTATTGATAGAAATAGTATATAAAGGTGTGCTACTGTACATTTCTTCTCAATGTCTTACCTTGAAATTGGTTGTGGCAGGAGTATTTATACCATGGAAATCAGCAAATGCTGAAAGCTGAGCTAGGTATCTAGTCTAGTTTATTGTCTAGACTTAAGAAAGTGATGGAGAAAGTGTTATATTGCAGGTTAAACTTAACAGTGTTCATGTCTAGAGCTAATACAACATTCTTTCACTATTTGAAAACTATGATTCAATTCATCATGAACCATTTTCTCCAGCTGAATAATCTACCTGTGACCTTCTTCTTCCTTTACACACAACACATACTATGTATTTCCACTTTTCTACCTAGTCTTATGTATTTTTCCATCTTTTTACCAAAATATTGGCTCATCCTCTAAGTTCCATCTCATCCAGGAAGTTTTCCCAGCCTTTGTTTTTTCCAATTCCTATTCTGCTTTGAGTGCTACATTGAATATCATAATTGGGAAGTAATTAGTGGGATATAGTGGTGCATGCCTGTAATCCCAGCTACTTAGGAGGCTGAGGCAGGAGGATTGCAATTTGAGGCCATCCTCTGCAGCCTAGTGAGACCCTGTCTCAAAATTAAAAATAAAACAGGCTAGGGAGGTAGCTCAGTGGAATAGTATTTGCAGTTTCCTGAGTTCAAGCCCTAGTGCCCCCAAACAGAAAAAAGAACTATAGTTTTCCATTGAAATGTAAAAATCCCAAATCCCAGCCTGTGCTTGAAAAATTATAGTAACTAGAAATCCATTACTTCTGAAAGTAGCCTTTTCTATTGTCTAGAAAATTACTTATGTTAAAAAGTATATTCATCCCATTTTCACTAGTCCTGTGATTCTGTATTGTGAGCATCACTTGGTGAGTTGTTGCTAGACTTGTAAAGAATCAAGTCTTACTTAGCTTACAGCTTAATGACCAAGCTTCTCAGAGCCCAGCTTCTTCAGTTTATTCTGCAAAATGGGGTAATAAATGAATTTCACAAGGCAGTAGTGTGAATTAAATAAGTAAAACTTGATTGTGGCTGATCATAAAGCATAGTAGTTAATGGCAAAGACTCTAAAATCAGAGAACCTAAACTGAGGCCAGTTTTCCCACTTGGTGACCTTGGGAAAGTTATTTAACTTTTTTGTATCTTGTTTCCTCATGTCTAAAATAGGAATAATAATAATAATAATAATAATAATAATAATAATAATAATAATACCTTACAGATGTGTGGGATAGTTAACACATAAAATATTTATTAAAAATTAAATCTATAAACTTACATTTAAATTATGTTTAAAATAAAACAGCCACACCTTTCTCCAAAGTGAGATCTGTTTTTCTATAGTCTTAGTTATAAAATTGTAATTAAGTTTTCCTACAAGGAAAATAATTCCCAAATTCACTATTAGAAGCATTTAGTAAGAGAGGGGTTAAATTGGAGGTACATCCCATGAAACATTGGACCTAGCATTTACTTTTTTTTCCAGCACTTGGAAAGGTTTTCCTGACACCAACTGGACTCATCTGTCCTTCATTAGCCATCTGATTACATTTTGACCCATAGTAATTCCTGAGATATTTGTGGATAATTAAGACTTCCCATTTCTTTTTTTTTTAATATTTTATTTTTTCGTTGTAGATGGACACAATATCTTTATTTTATTTTTATGTGGTGCTGAGGATTGAACCTAGGCCCCTGCACATGCTAGGCGAGCGCTCTACAGCTAAGCCACAACCCCAGCTCGACTTCCCATTTCTTTATCCATACTTTGTAGAATACTTTTCAGTGTTGCTTAGTGTACGTAATAATTTTGGCTTCAATTTAAAACACACATACACATCTTTGGTAGCATTTCATATGTATTTTACCTCTACTGAGAATTCTGAATTTTATTTTTGCTTCCAGTTTCAAAAATTTTAATTTGTTTTTACCTAGAACCAGAGATTCTGAGGTGGATAATAAAATGATTCCAGATCAAATAACAGTCAGTCTGTTCACTTTCTTTCACAGGTCCGCAAGCACATCAATGATTTGTATGAGGACCTGCGGGATGGCCATAACCTGATTTCTCTGTTGGAGGTACTCTCAGGCATCAAACTGGTGAGCTTCTCCTTTCTTGTTGAGTGCTGGGCAGTGGCCCAGGTGTTTGGAGTTTTTTTTTTTTTTTTTTTTTTTTTCCCAGTTTATCTCACTTTCTCCCTTGGATGATTCATTGAGTCTCACAGATAGGGAGAGGTGCTGAAGTTGATGTCTGAGCATAGCCCTGGAGAGCAGCTCGTTTGGGCTTCTTGGATAATTAAATATGGCTGCCTTCTCCCAAACTGTTTTAAATATAGCTTGTGGGAAACACCTTCCTGTGTGAAGGCAGATCCTGACTGCTGATCATTCTTACACTTGCTTTATTTTTGAGGGCTCAGAATAACTCACTTGTGGTCTCATTGTTCCATATATTTGAGCCTAATGGAAGCAAGTGCTCCCAGGTGGCTCACATTCTTTTTCTAGTGTCATAGACAATGCAGTTTTCATTTGGATAAGCCCAGGGTTGAATATTGGAAACATCTGTTGGTAAAGAGAACCGAAGAGCGCCCAGCTCTAGTAGTCTGTGAATCCCACCCATTCACTGTCTTTGGTGATTTCTTAGTCATTGTTATGTTTAAAAAACAGACTTTGGCACATTAGATTTTACTGCTTCAGTGATATTTAGCTCCTTGTAGGATTGGGGCTTGGCTTCCCTTGGGTCTTTTGTTTTGGTTTCCTTTTTTTTTTTTTTGCCTGTAATGCAATTTTTTTATTATTATTTATCAATTTATCTATTTATTGAAGTATTGAGGATTGAATTCAGGACCTCGTTCATGCTAGGCAAGTGCTGTACCATAGGGCTACACCCCACCCCAATTTTATACTTTTAGTGGCCAAAATTGATAGAGGCTTTTATTGACATAGTTTGCACATGTAATTCTGGTTCTCTTTTGGCCCTCATTTGCAAGTCTAATTAGTAATCAAAATTTCATTTTCACTGTGATGGACTTTATTCTTCACTTAAAATTAAATTTTGGACAATAGGCTGGTATATTTGATGAATTTATAGTGAATTTTATTGGAAAGTGGTCCCCTTTGGTAGCATTGCTTACAAAACAGATTAAAAAACTCCAATCTAATTTCTTTTCCTAATCTTTGAAAATTTACAATTATTTGTGGATATATTCATTGGATATCATCTTTTCACCAAAACCCACCAAGATATCTCTTTCACTGTAATTCTCATTGTTTCTTTCTCCCTTATTGAGAGGGTAGGTGGCAATGGAGAATTGAAGATGTGTTTTAACTTAAGGAATGTTTGGTGTACCAGCTCTGATCTTGATTTGGTTTTGTATCTCTTTTGATGGTGGGGGAGGGTATTTTTTTTTAAATTTATTTTTACTTTTTTTTTTAAATGTTGCATTTATTTCCATTTCATCTTTGTGTTGTGAATTTCCTGTTCCTTTGTGTGTCTTTGCCTTGGTTGGTGGTCAAAGGAGCCAGCAGGGCTGAAGACCCTCCGTCTGGTGAGCATGCCCTCCTGGCGCCATACAAACAGCGAGGAGCAGGAGGAGGAAGATGATGATGATGTAGTAGGTCCTCCTGGGGGTGCTAGCATCCCAGCTGGCACTGCTGGCACTGCAGGGCCATCAGAGAGTCTGAGGTTCTCTAGGTCTCCAAGTAGCTCAGTCACCAGTTGCTGCCTTCTCTTTCCACTTGGGAATTTGGATCCCAAAGAAAGTGGCTGAACCTAATTATGCCTCTTGCCACTGTTAGATGATCCTGGAGTGGGAATTGTTTTGCTTAGCTGAGAATGGTTGGCACAAAAAGAATCCTGGTGTTTGGAGGTGTCAAGTCCCTTTGTGACCTGGAGACCCATAGCTTTCTGATGGCCTGTGTTGTCTGAATACACATTGCAGTCCAAATTGTGAAAAGTTTAGTTGACAGCATGACAGTTAATTAATTGCTCTCAGCTCCAGTCTAGACTAACTGGTACTGTCTTTCCACCTCTCTGGCCTCTAGGTTCTCACCATACACCATTCCATTTGTTTTCAAAACAGCCTGTTGTTTGCAAACTCACTGCATGGACATATTCTGGCCTTGGTCAATAATGTCTTAGTTGGCTGTAGAGGACAGAGATTTAACTTGCATGTTCTGAGACTACTTGTTTTGAGTGGAAGATACATTAGAAGTCAAGATTAGAATGTGTAGAAGAAGGTTGTTTTTTTTTTCCTCATAGATCCCAAATAATAACCCATAATCTTTCTCTAGAAATAGGGATTAGACAATATCCCAGTTCCCTGTCCTCTTAAAAGTCATATTTTGACTTCATTTATCTCTCTTTCCCATTCCTCAGAATCTTGTTTTGCAATCTCTGTCATGTTTTAAGCTGTCTGCACAATTAGTTTAGCTGAAGTGACTAAGAAGAGGTTCTTGCTAAAAAGGTGTTTCTTAAACCTTTGACTTAATAAGTTATCCTATTGCCCAGAGAGGCCTCTGCATCTCTGTAGGTTATGCTATTTGGGGAATGTTGCTTGGAAGTGTTGGAGGGTGCCTAGAGAGATACTTCAATCTTTATCTTCCCTTTTTGCAAAAGGAAACCTGGGGCAACATTCCCTCTAGGCAGATACTCAGCACAGCCATCTTATATTTTTTTCAGCCTTTAATTAATACTAATTTGATATTTACAGATGAACTAGGAATTACCTAGTAAGTTTTAATCCTACTTTTAGTAAAATAAAAGCAACATTGGGAAGAGAGCAAAAGAAAATGTTCATTGGCAGATAGCCATTCCTGCACTACTCATTGGCAAACAGACTTTATTTATTTACTGTTCATAGGTAATAATTGATCCAGAGGTACCAGGTGGAGAGGACTTCTCTCCCTGGGCTGTATGACATATAAGATTGAGTACAGAAAAGAACTTTCTTTGGGTTAATTATGTGGAATAACCCTCACCATCAAGATTTTATTTGTTCTGGTTATTTCATGCTGGAGTAAAGAGTGGTTTCCCTCCAGTGAGACCCATCACCCTGGGAAATTGGTTACATCCTGATTTTTGTCTCCTATTTTGAATTTTTTTTTTAAGAGAGAGAGAGAATTTTTTAATATTTATTTTTTAGTTTTCGGTGGACACAACATCTTTATTTTATTTTTATGTAGTGCTGAGGATCGAACCCAGCGCCCCACGCATGCCAGGCGAGCACGCTACGGCTTGAGCCACATCCCCAGCCCCTATTTTGAATTTTTTTAAAAACGTTTTTTTTTTTTAGGATGTATAATGCCTCATTGCTTATAGTTAAGACATTGACTCCTCCAGTTAAGCTCCTTTGGCCTGGTTTGTAGTAAGGTTGGCTCCATCCACTACTGTGCAGTATGCAGTTAGGCCTTCTGTCTTTTCCCTTCAGGGTTTAACTGTGATTTTGGGAGCCACAGAGCTACAGTCTTTGTTCCCATTAACTTCACATACAGTGTCAAGCTGTGGCATATATGAACATAGAAGAACCTATAGAGAAGCTGCAGCACTGATTCAGCATTAGTGGTCAAACAGGATTGTGTGTTTGTGAGGTGCATAGTGGTGCACAAGGCATTTGGGGTGGGGTTGGGGCACACAAAGCCTGGTGAAACACACAAGATTCTGCTTTTAAGGGTGCTTTAATGTAATCCTCCCACACCTGGCTTCAGCCATGAGGAATTCTTGAGTGATCTTTTATTCCTTGAAATGAAAGAGGAAGGAGTATGTGTGGGTAAATTGGTAAAATTAACACCCCTTTTCTTTATTTGCAGCCCCGGGAGAAGGGCAGGATGCGTTTTCACAGGCTACAAAATGTGCAGATTGCCCTGGACTTCCTAAAGCAGCGACAGGTAAGACCATTCATGCTTTCCCCATTCTGCTGGGGAAAGTTGACATTGTATCTGAATTAAGAATGTTCGCATGCCACTAGTAAAAATGACAAATCTGACTGAGCCAATTCTGAGTCTTAACTTGCAGATTAGCAATTTTATTGTGGTTGAATAAATTATTCAGTAGTCGTTATATAAAACTTGTGACCTTCTTGAGAGGGACAGGTTTGTGAACAAGAATACTAAAGATGGAACCCTGTGGGCCCACCATAATTGGGGTTCAAAATGAAGATGAAACTCAACCCAGCAAAGAAGATGGGAAAAAATGTGTAGCATCACAAAATACTACATTGTCATGAAAACAGAACAAGGGAATGGCCTGAATGCTACATCAGGCCTGAGATAAAGGTTTTAGCTGTTACTCAGTGGTGGCTTAAAAAAATGGTTTTAATAAAGTACAAAATTATAGCAGACCTAGGAGGGACAAAGAAGTTTTTTTCCTTTCCTAGAAAAGGAAGACAACATATTTTTAGATATAAGAGGAGAAGCCAGTGAAGAGAATAAGATTGAAAATGAAGGTGAGGAGATGAAGTCATAGAATGTTAGCTGTAGGGGTACCTTATAGATCTACTTGTCAGTTTATTCATGTTATAGATAATGAGATTGAGATCTGGACAGCTGAATGACCTGCCTCAAACCATACCAGTTAGAGCAGACTTTAATTGGTAGTTCTCCTGACATGTGGGCTAGTGCATCTCCCCTGTCCATGCTGGGTTCTGCATACCTTCCTTCCTCCCATTGTTTCCTAATTGATGGAACCAAGTTCAGAAATTGAGGGATGAGAATCAGAACAGCTGTAAGGCGTGATTAACATTGGAAAGAAAAGAAAAGTGACTCTTGTTCTTAGATGTAGGGAGGACAGAAAAAGGGATGAAAATACAGAGATGGCTTGTGGTGGGGAGAAAGATGAATGAGAGAGCCAGAGGATTCATCTCCTTAGAGTGAGCAGTATGTAAGAGATTTTTTGGTAAAGCTGGGGTTGCCAAGCAACAGCAAGGGTCAACATGACATTAAATAGTTTGCATATTTTTGGAGTCAACTCATTTTTGTTAGTCTTATCAGCAGTTCTTCTTAATTTGGGAAATTGCCTTTCTGTGTGCTTCCACAGTAATTTCTAAAATAACATTTATCACTTTATTGTTATTTCTCTCTCCCAATGAACTTTGTGAGGGCAGGAAACATGATTTTATTGAACATTGTAATTTTAGCACTCATCATAATGAATAGTCCCTAATTGACATTTAATAAAGTATTTGTTGAAAATAATAAATTAAAAGTAGTAGAAATGGAGGTTGCTGAAGCATTTAGGGCACTAGCAGAAGCAGCTTTGAAATGTCTATGTGTGGGATTAGAGGAGTCCTGAGGGGCCTTAATGGACAAAGTAAGAAGAATTAATTAGTGTGGGGTACAGTGGCACATGCCTGTAATCCCAGCAGTTTGGGAGGCTGAGGCAGGTGGATCTCGAGTTCAAAGCCAGCCTCAGCAAAAGTGCGGCACTGTCTCTAAATAAAATACAAAATAGGGCTGGGGATGTGGCTTAGTGGTCGAGTGCTCCCGAGTTCATTCCCCAATATACCCCCTCTCCCCACCAAAAAATAAGCTAAATATATACCATATGACCCAGTATTCCTACTCCCCGGAACTTGCCTTACAGAAATGAAACCATATGTTCCCACAAAATCTTGTATGTGAATGTTGGAGCTTTATTCATAATTGCCCCAAACTGGAAACAACCCATAAGTCCTTCAGTGGATGAATAAGCACATGATAGTATGTCTATACAATGGAATACTTTAGGAGTACAATAGGGTTTAACTACAAAGCAGGGGCAGCACAAGGGACTTTTTGGGGGCATAATAGAACTGTTTTGTGTAGTGGTTACATGAATCTGCATATGTGTTAACTCATAGAATCTTGTACCAAAAAATAAATTAACTATATGTCAATAATGAAAATATGTAAAAATAAAATCAAAAAGTCTCAGCTCTGAGACTGACTTTTCTTTCTTTTTCAGGTGAAGCTAGTGAATATTCGCAATGATGACATCACAGATGGCAATCCCAAACTGACTCTGGGCCTGATCTGGACCATTATTTTGCACTTCCAGGTAGAGTCTGTGAAGTTTGGGGTTCCTGTTGCTTGGTTTGGACACAGCCTAGAAAGTTGCACTACCTTCTGAGGCAGAATGGAGGTGTCCTTCTCTGTGGGTAGGAGTTGGAAGGAGAATTAAGATTGGCTTGGAGACAAGCTTTACCCTAGAATTTTCTAATTATTTGCATGATGAAGTGGAGGAATTTTTCACCAATTTGTGGTTTGGCCTATCCTTGGCAGTCTGGTTATTAGAAGTCTATTTGTTCAGCTAAGTTAAAAAAAAAAAAAAAAAAAAAAATTAAGGGACTCAGAGTATGAGGTGGGGAGAGATGTTGGTTTTATACTTTATTTATTTATTTTTTTGTAGTTGTAGATGGACAGAATGCCTTTATTTTTATGTGGTGCTGAGGATCGAACCCAGTGCCTCATGTATGCTAGGCAAGCGCTCTGCCACTAAGCTACAGCCCCAGCCCCTTGATACTTTAGAGAAGTGGCACAGAGGTGCCTAATTCTGCTTGGATATAGACTTTTCATTATCTCTAATGATCTTTGAACAAATCTGGTTAAATGTAGCACCTTAGTAGCTAGGTTTGTATATGTGCTTGTAAGCACAGCCTCATAGTACATCCACAAACAGTGGTCATTTGGCCTTCCTGTTGCTCTTCCGTCCTAAAATGAGAAATCCTTTTAAAGTCTGAGTTGCTACAGGAAAAGAAAGCTCAGTTGTTTTTTTGTTTTTTGTTTTTGTTTGTTTGTTTGTTTAAGAACATCACTATTTTTATAAACAGACTTCTTTTAAGTTACTCTAAGCCTGACTAATCAAAGTAACTTCTCAGAAAGCTCTCCAATACCCCAGTTGCTACACACTAAGGTGATGGATTAAAGGGAGCACTCCTTCAGTAGTTGGGAAAAGGCTAGTGAATAATTTAAGGTACTGACTCCCAACAGTACGGCCAATGTGACCCCCTATTTAGAGTTACTGCCACCTTCTGGTTGAAGGCAGAACAGCAGGTGTCTCAATTCCTAAGACGCTAAAGAAAATTCTGAGAACAGTTTTGTTTCTTGGGGTTCTGGTTTGGAGCCAGTGCTATCACTCTTCAGCATGGTTAGGGTTAGGAATGTGTGAATGTATTTTTATGGAATCACAGGGTGTCTTCAGGCAGGCTTTACGTATATGCAGAACCAGGAAGATGAAGTTGGTGAATGTGCCCTGGCAGGATGGGAACACAAATTTTATTGGGCTTTCATGGAGGACTAGAGTTATCCCCTTGGATTTCTTTTCTGTTTGTTCGTTTGCTACTGGGATTGAATCAAAGGGCATTTTGCTGAGCTACATCCACAGTCCGTCCGTCCATCCCTCTATCTATTTATTTATTTGCAGGGACTTGCTAAGTTGCCCAGGCTAGCCTCAAACTTGCAATCCTGCATCAGCCTCCCAAGTTGCTAGAATTATATGCATGTGCCACCATACCTGGCACTCTCTTGGAATTCTTTTTTTCTTTCTTTCTTTTTCAAAAGGACATTTCTTTTTCTTTCTTTTTATTTTAAAGACGTTTATTTTTTATTTATTTTTATGTGGTGCTGAGGGTTGGACCTAGTGCCTCACATGTGCCAGGCAAATGCTCTACTACTGAGCTACTGCCCCAGCCCCCTCCCTTGGAATTCTTTGTTGTTGTTGTTCTAATTAGTTACACATGACACTAGGATGCATTTTGACACATTATTCATAATGGAATATAACTTCTCATTCTTCTGGTTGTACATGATATAGAGTTAGTCTGGTGGTGTAATCATATATGCACATAGGGTAATAATGTCCAATTCATTCTACTTCCTTCTCCCTTACCCCTTCCCCTTTTACTCCTTCTGTCTAATCCAAGGTACATCTATTTCTCCCTACCTCATCTCCCCATTGTGAATTAGCATTCTCATATCAGAGAAAACATTTGACCTTTAGTTCTTTTTTTTTTTTAACTTGTTTTAATTAGTTACACATGACAGTACAATGACCTTGACATATCTGTACCTGAGTACACAGGTTGCAGAATCACATTGGTCATACATTCACATATGTACACACTGTAATAATAATGTCTGTTTCATTCTACTTCGATCTTTAGTTCTTTGTGATTGGCTTATTTCACTAAGCATAATTTTCTTCAGCTGCATCCATTTATTGGCAAATGCCACAATTTCATTCTTCTTTAAAGCTGAATAATACTTCATTATGTATATATAACACATTTTCTTTATCCATTCATCTGTTAAAGCGTACCTAGGTTGGTTCATAGTTTAGTTATTGTGAATTGCGCTACTATAAACATTGATGTGGCTATGTCACTGTAGTATGGAATGGAACCACCATTTGACCCAGTTATCCCACTCCCTTGGAATTCTTATCAATAGAGGAGAGTTTTTTAAATTAATTTTTTTTTCTTTTGGCCATACTGGGCATGAACCCAGGAATGCTCTACCACTGAGCTATGGTGCCAATACTTTAAAAAATTTTTTACTTTGAGATAGGGTCTCACTGAGTTGCCAAGGCTGGCCTCAAACTCCATCCTTCTGTCTCAGACTCCTGAGTTGCTGGGTTTACAGGGGTGTGCCACCACACCTGGTGTGAGGAGGGGTTTTTTTTTTTTTGTTTGTTTGTTTATTGGCCATAAACCTGTCCTCACTGTGAGTAACCAAGTTATTCTCCTACCCATGAGGTGATATCCACTGTATTTCTGTTTACCCTGATGACAACTAAGGCCCCATAGAATGAATGCTGAATTAGTTAATTACAACTTTTCTGTGGCAGAGAGGTGGGGGTAGTGGTGTGGTTTTTTTCCTAAACAGCTCCATCAGTAAATTTTTTTTTCTCTCTCTCATTAAAAATTTTGTTATGGGGCTGGTATGGTATATCTCTGTGGTAGAATGCTTGCCCAGCATGCTCCAGTCCCTGGGGTCAATCCCTAGCACCACCAAGGAAAAATAATGGCTATGAAAAAATTCAAACATTCGTAAAACTAGAGGAATTAGTTTTACAAAGAACTACCATGTATCACTGACCTAGCTCAATAATTATTAACTCATAGTAATTAAGTATTATTTCATCTAAATCCTGATCCATTTCTCAAATCTCAGCTGGTTATTTTGAAGAAAATCCCAGACCTCACATAATTTCATCTGTAAATATTTTAGTGTGTATCTGAAAGAAACAGACTCTTTATCTAAGCAATATCATACCCTAAAAATTAAAACTTTCATAAAATTATCAAATATTCAGATATTCCTAATTGCCTCTTTAAAAAAATTAGTTTTGGGTTTGGATCAGAATCTGAACACAGTTTATCTGTTGTGTTATATTTTTCTCCTTTTCCCCCTTACAGTTAGTTAAAGAAATAAGGTCTATGTCTTAGAAGGTTTATTAAGATCTGTGAGATATCTCCTAAAACTGCCCTCCATCCATTCCTGTGTTGTAATTCCAAGAAAATGGTGGTTTACTGTAGCCCCAGTGCCTAGTTTCCAGGTTAAATTTTTTTGCAATGCTGTGGTATGGTGTGCTTCTGTGAGTGCTGTCAGGTTGCTCATTGTTGCACATCAGAATGTATATAATGTCTCTTGTCTTTTTGGTGGGGGATGTTAAGATTGGTAACTAGGTTCAGGTGTTATTAATCGGATCCATTCATCCTATGTTCCCTATTAATGATACATCTAATAGTTTTAGTAGCTACTGATCATCATTTCTAGTTCCATTATTTCATTAGAAGTTGAAAAACAGTGATATACAAATTCTGTTAATCCTTTTTCATTATTTAGTAGGAATACTTCTGTAAGGAAGAACTTTACCTCTTCAGCTACCCTGAGGGATAGTTCCTATGGGAAAGCCAAAACAAATGAATCTATCTTTCCTTCTAGTTAGTGTTTAGAATAATTAGTTGACTCCCTAAGATTCTCCAAAGGTAACCAATGAAAGTTTCTGTATTGATCTTTTTTTAAAAAATACTTTTAGTTGTAGATGGATATAATACCTTTATTTATTTATCTGTATGTGGTGCTGAGGATCGAACCCAAGGCCTCATACAAGCTAGGTGAGTGCTCCCCAATGAGCCACAGCCTTGAACTTTGTTTTTTTTTGTGTGTGCCTCTACAACTCACGGATTTTTAACAGACCCAATATGTTCCAATCAAATATTTATCATTCTTCCTGATACTCAAATAGCTGTCTTTGTCCAGTATGAGCTTTTCAAGTTAACTCTGAATCTTTTGGCATGACCTTATGACTCTTTGATTTCCTTTATTTCTTGTGTGATGAGATGTCCCAAACTCTTTTTGTGTATTTCATGTCTCAAGCCTGAAATTCTGAATTTCTCCAAGGAACCATTTCTTATTTTTTACCACAATCTGAGTGCTGCCAGGTTCTGCTCATTGTTTCTGGGCTTTTGTGTATGTGTATGTGCAGAGCTAGAGAATACTTGTATATATCTCTTTTTTAAAAATAATGAGTTTATAGTGATATTTCTGATTAAAATGTAGGATTCCAGGGATTTATTTAACTTCTTTGACTTTATATTATTCTTTTTCCCCCTAAACTGAAATTCTTTATTTTAACAACAGTAATGTAATTATTCCCCTTCCATACACACACAATCATAAATATTGTATATAATCAACATGAATATCAGTGTTACAATTTACAATATGTATGTAGAGGTTTACAATTCTTTGCAGTTCTTTTGTCCTTAAAACATTTTAAAGTCATTTGAAATAATTTCTCTGTTTTGTTAAACCAACAATTCAGTAAACAAGTAGGTTCAGTTATATTCATTTGCTTTCAGTCTTTAGGGATTGCTTTTTTCCCTTTTGTTTTATTTACACTATGTAGATCATTTACATTGTTCCAAAGGGAAATTTAAAAAAGTGAATACTGCCGGGTGTGGTGGAGCATGACTGTAATCCCAGCGGCTCAGGAGGCTGAGGCAGGAGAATCATGAGTTCAAAGCCAGCCTCAGCAAAAGCAAGGTGCTAGGC